GAGATTTCTTTCTTTGATCTTGCTGCTTTCAGAATTTTGTCTCTGTCTAAGGTTTTGGTCATTTTGATCAGAATGTGTCTTGGGGAATTTTTATTCGGATTTATTCTAGCTGGTAACCTTCGGGCCTCCTGAATGTGGTCACAAGTTTTCTTCAGCTCTGGAAACGTTGTAGCAATGATTTCTTTGACAGTTTCTTCTTCATCAAGGTTTTCTTCCTGTCCCTCTGGGACTCCAATAATTCTTATGTTACCCCTCTTGGATTCATCACGATCTTCTCTTTCCATCTGTTCCCGAATCTTTTCCATTCCAAAGAGTGAGTCTCTTTTTCATTTTCTGCTCTTTCCTGGAGAGTCTCTGCACTTCATCTTCGAGCTCACTGATTCTGTTCTCAGCAGCTCTTACTCTGCTGCTGCTGAGGCCTCCCACTGAGTTTTTCAATTTGCCTACCAGGTTTTTCAGGTTTGACATTTCCGATTGCATTTTCCTCATTTCTACCTTCAAATCCTCCTGTCTTTTATTGGCATTGCTTTCCATTGTTTCTTTTAGTTCCCTAAGCATCCTAAGTAGCTCCTTTCTGAATTCCTTGTCAGGGAGGTTGTCTAACACTACAGTACTCTTGATGTCTTCTGGGCTAACTTCTTCAATAAGAAAGTTTGGTGGGCTTTTGCGTTGCCTTACCATTGTGACACGTGTGGTTTAGTCCTTCACATTCACTGTTACTATTCTGCTTAGTATGCAGTGTGAGTTGAGATAGGCTTATGAGTTATTGGCTACTGAGTTTCTAGTGGCTGAGTTAAAATAGAGAAGATTCCATCTAAGAAGGTAGCTTATGGTTCTTAGGGCATATGTAGTGGGAGAATATTTTGCGGCCGCATTAGTGGCCAGGGCCCCGGAAAGGGTCCCTGTGCTGGTCCCGTGCAGATCAGGGGAAAAAACCGGCTGTTCTATGAGATCGAGCTAGCTGCGCATGCCCAGAGAGAGTCCCAGGCCTTGGGGGTGGGCTGTACCTGAATGGAATGGGGAGAGAGTTCCTGGAAACCTTCAGCTTTGTTGCTGGGAGGTGGGGCTCGGTTCCCGTCCGGTGCAGATCAGGGGGAAAAAACCGGCTCTTGCCTTAGTTTTAAGTTGTGATTATTCACTTTTTTTTTTGGGTAGGTTTTTATTTTTTTCTTTAAATCTCTGCTTTGGGTAAAGAAAACACTTTGAGTCCAGTTCCCGCAGTAGGTTACTGGTGCCGGGCCACCCCAGGTGGGAATAGGTTCTGTGCCTTCGCCTGTTTCCTCTGGTGGCTTGGTGGCCACCTTCCTCCAGAGGCCATTGGCCAGTTGCGTTTGGGCCTGCAGTGACGAGACACGTGGGGCCTCATGGAATAGGGGTGGTACCGGCCCTTTCTTCCCTGTCCCAACGAGACCCCAGGTCGCCTCCCACGAATGGCCTCTCTGGTTCCTGATCGAGCTGCTTAACGGCCATGATTGCAGAGACTCAGGAACAAATGTTGGAACTCAGCAGATTTAGGCAGAAGTCCCTCCAGATTTAATCGTTAAAATTTTGGAATTCCAAAATCACATGGCCCCTGTTTCAGTCGCATGACATCATATTTTATTCATAATCAGCAATAGAAAACAAATTGTCTACAGTTGCCTTTTCGGTAGATCTGAGTGTTGTGGCAAAATCCCAAATAGTAATGGTGGGTCTGGTGTCAAAATACAGAATGTAATCAAAGTAGAGAGAGAGTAATGTGGAAATCATCTGCCCCACAGAAAGGGGGAAGGCGTGAGATGGGGTGTACACTGGGGTTTTTGGTGGTGGAAAATGGGCACTGGTGAAGGGACGGGTGTTTCATCATTGTATGACCAAGACTTAAACCTGAAAGCTTTGTAACTGCTCTCACAGTGATTAAATAAATAAATTTATAAAAAGGAAAAAAAAGTGAGGTGGAGTTCATGCCCAATTCAATCAGTTTAATCAATGACTGAATAAACAGCGATACTCCTACATTAAAATAAAAAAATAATAAAGAAAAGGAAACACTTTGATTTTTTCTTTTTAGTGTTTTTTTTTCTGGAGCGATAGCACAGCGGTAGGGCATTCGCCTTACACGCGGCCAACATGGCCGACCCGAGTTCGATTCCTCCGCCCCTCTCGGAGAGCCCGGCAAGCTACCGAGAGTATTCGATATGCCAGACACAGTAACAACAAAGTCTCCAATGGAGACGTTACTGGGCCCGCTCGAGCAAATCGACGATCAACGGGAGGGCCTTTACCTTTACCTTTACCTTTTTTTTTTGCCACTTCCACTGGAGCTCAGGGATACTTCTGGTCTCCTCCCCTAGCCTCCACACATTGCCTTGTAAGGACACCAACCATTGCATTTAAGATTCCATCTTTACCATTAGCTTCTCTTCTGGACTACCTGTTCAAAGACTCTATTTCCAAATAAGGCCACATTTTGAAATTCTGAGAAGACAGGAACTTTGGGAGTTTCGGTGTTCAACTCAGTATACTCTCAATATGGCTTTTGCTTTATGTTCCTACCTTTTGTTTCCTACTTTCTCAGATACATTGTTCACACTCTGATTCATTTATTTTTTAATGCTTAAAACTGCCTACTATCCAGGTATTGGAGCACCATGGTAAACAAAGACTTTGTGACACCCTCAGAAGTCGATTATATACAGCTTAACACCTAGCTTCTTGTAATGTGGCTCATGACCCAAAATGAGGACTACTAACTAGTAACTAAATGTGGAGGTTTTGAAAAATTATAAATATTAAAAAATAATTTTTTGACGCTATGTCATCAGTAAATGTTTGATTTGGAGGGGATTTGAGTCAGACCCGATGGTGCTCTAGACTTCCTCTTGGTTCTGTACTCTGTGCTCTTCCTGTACTCCTGACTGTACTTGGAGGAATGGTGTGTTGGAAATGGAATCAGGGCCAGTCAAATGCAAGGCAAACAGTGAATCCCTGTGCTAACTCTCTGTCCCAAATCTTTGACTTTTATACCTGTTTTATATACCTATATACCTAGAATAGCATAGGTATTTCTCAAGTATGGGGGTCACAGTAGAAATAGCTTAAAAAACTCTGGTCTGATGAAAGAACAATAACAAATAACAATCTGATGAAACATTTTTGAAAATAGTGAAAATCGATAAATAATGATAAATGCTGTAAAATAATTTGAGATTTAAAATGAGATTAGAAAGAGACAGAGTTCAGATTAGGTCTGGAACTATAACCAAGCTCTGAAGAAGGAAGATTTCAGCAGGGAATTTATCATGAGTAGAAACTAAGTGAATCCATGTCAGGGGCAAGAGGGTAAATGCCAGGGGGAAGGGCATTTGAACAGGAAGAGACAACAGACAAGGAAGCCACTGGTGTGTCAAGCTGACCATTATGCTGGGGTTGTGATGGAGGATTGTGATAGGAGGACATAGGCAGAGGGACACTGAGTCCTCCAGGGCACTATAGATCATAGTTGGTATTTCACCTTGTGCCCTAATACATAGTGGAGCTCATGACGCTCGCAGTACAGTAACTGGCCATGCTGCAACCAAGTGGAGAAAAGGCAGGAATGAAAATAGACCAGACAGGAGAAATTTGCAGTGGTTCAGATGAGGGATGATCACTTGGCCTAGAGTGATGGCAACGGAGAGGGCAATAAATGAGCATATTTCAGACATGTTTTATAGGAGGAAGAGATATGGTTTGTTGATGGATGCAGAAGGTGAGATGTGGGAGGCATGAAGGATCCCTGCCAGGTTGTGCGATTACCAAGATGTGAAGCACAGCAGATTTAGGAGAGAAGATCAAGGATTCAGCTTTCTGTCAAGTTAAATGTGAGATCTGCCTGGAGGGTATTCAAATGGAGATGTCAAATAGGAGGGTAGAAGATGGCTCCAGAGACTCAGAAGTTATCTGTCTAAAAATCTAGAAGTTGGCAAATAGACATAATCTGAAGCCATTGTTGTGGCTGGAGAATTTTTTCTTAAATGTCAGGCTGACCTTACACTGGTTTGTTTGGCTTCTCTTTTAAATAGCCAAGACTGTGACTCTGCTACACCTTTAAATCTTCTATCTTAGTCATCCAATTTCCGGCTCACTCTTTAATTACATTGTAAAACAGAGCATTAAAAAAAAAGTAGAGCCTGCCTATTTGTGTGCCCTGGGCAAATCACTTAGTATCTCCGGGTATTAGTTTTCCATCTATAAAATAAGTGTCTTGGTGAAGGAGAGAGCTCCAAGGGCTAACAGAGTGTTTGTAAACAGAATCTAAGACAAAACTGCAAAAAAGGGGACTTTATTATTTTCAGTTTTAAAGATGCTGTGGTTCTATAATCTATGTATAACTGGTTAAGATATAGCTAAAGTTAAGCTGCATCTATTTTTATAAACCCATAGAAAATTTTCACTGGAAGATGAAAGGTTAATTCTGATTAGATCTAGAAAGGTATTTCACTTCTTCTTGTTTGTTTGTTTGTTTGTTTTTTGGGAGTGCATACCTGGCAGTGATCAGGGCTCACTCATGGCTCTGCGCTTAGTAACAGAGGATGCTAGAATTGAACCTGGGTTGGCCTCATGAAAGGCTAATATGCTACTGCTGTACTATTGCTTTGACTCTTTAAAGTTACTTTTAAGTCTGCATTGTGAACAGCAATTAGATACTGTTAATGTCAATCTCACATACTATTGCCATTATTCAGAACAGCATTTCTTCCGCATTTGTAAATAGAACACTGAAAAGAAAAGTAGAAATCCGTACATTTACTCATCAAAATAACATCACAACTAGGACATATCTCATTACAAATAAATTCCTATGGGAAAGGACTTGTTCAAGTGTAGGTAGGATAATCCAAATATTCAGGATCCAAATAGAAGTTAACTGCCTGGATCGCTGACCAGAATACACAGATAACAGAATTTCCTCACATTCTTCGAGGTAGCAAATTGCAATTCTATATGAAGGGTCACCATTACAGCAATTCTTTTCTTACCTCAGTGACAGCAAAACTTCTCTTGCCACAGGGAACCACCTTGTACCACTTGTCATGCAGAACATCCATAAATCCATGTGACTTGTATTGACTGATTAGCTCAGATATATTGGAGGTCAGTGGAGAGTTGGGTGGGAGACCAATGCCATATCCTAGGAGAAAATGTAATCTTAGAGAAGTTTTTCACTAGGGAAGATCCGAAGAGACAACCACTTAACAGTGTTAATGACCATCATATCTGTAACAAGAGGAACGGTCAACTTCTACCACCTTTTCTTCAAAAGACTTAAAAATACCCAAGGATCATTACCTTGGATTTGCTGCCTTTCTGAGTAGATGAGATGAATTTGGAAAGGAGTAAGCTTAGTTACACTGGGCATAATATATCAGTGGCATTTTATATTTCATGGCCACCTGTCATTCCATTATGACAATTTTTTTTTTAGTTAAACCCAGTAATGCTCTTGACTCTGCTCTCAGGAATTATCTCTGATGGTGCTCAGGGGAAGGGCTTATGGGATGTGGGAATTGAACCTGGCTTGGCTGCTTGTGAGGAAGTGGTATCTGCTGTACTATTGCTCTGGGCCCATTAAGACATTTCTGAGTGTCATCCTTGAGAACTTTACAAAGGCTATGATTCCCTAATCACCTCAACTCAAAACCTTTTATCTTATAAACAAAAGCAAATTAATCATAATAATTTGATTTTTCACATACTCTTATTATTGGTCAGCATAATCTGTTTTACTTTTGTTTTTAAATAATATAATAAAGCCACTTGAATATGCAAAATAGTCACAGAATTAAAGCATAGACAATAACCTGTAATAACTAACTCCATTTGTCAAAAAAAAGGTCTGGTAATACCAAGTATTGGGGATGATGTGGTGTCAATAAAATTACTTACACATTGCTGAGGGCATGCATGTTGATGTAATCACTTTGGAAAAGAATTGCCAATATTTTGTAAAGTTGAATATTTGTACACTCTAAGACCAGAACATCTACTCCTAAGTATAGCTCCAAAACTTCATCAGGAGTTATGAATGAGAGGGTACTTAGAATCACTGTTGACTCTAGCAGAGATTCTTTGACAAGAGAGTAGATAAATTGTGGGATATTTAAACATCTGGAATAGTGTACAATATGAAACATAAACTAGGACTTTATTATAATTTATGCTTCTAGTTTGAGCAATGAAATAGGTAACTAACAAGGTATTGAGTGAAAAGGTTAGCTCTGGACTATTTCACATGAATTTATTATGTGACTCTAAAAGCATTAAAAAATAGTTTGGGGCCACACTCTGCAGTGCTTAAAAGCTACTACAGTGGTATTCAGGGGGAAATGCAGAGTTCCAGGGATTGAAATTTGGGCAAAAAACATGCTCCTTCCCTTTGATATATCTCCCCAGTCATACAGATATATGAATTAAGAATGCACATACAGGTGATAAAAGCATATATATCTATCATCCAGAGAAATATTATTTTTTAAAAGGAAGCCATGTTGATGACACTCAGCCCAGTGGACCCTAATAACTCTTGCCCAGCCTCAGCACTACGATGGATGCTTGGGGTCTTTGGTTCTAGGGAGCCAAGTAGGGGTAGGAATCAAGCTTTGAACCTTTCACATGCAAAGCAGCATATGCTCCAGCCTCTTTCAGCCAATAAAAGTGTAATTTAAAAAATTAGCCAAAATTTGGGAACAATCCAAGTATGCAAGGACAGATGACCGGATAAAGAAACTATGGTTCTTGTCCCCAATGAAATCAAACCATGAAATGTGGATGGATCTGGGGAGTATCATGCTGAATGAAGTTATTCAGAAGGACAGGAACATATACCAAAGGATATCTTTCATATGTGGTATATAAAGAAACTTAGAAGGGAAAAAATAAATGCCCAAAGGCAACAGAATCTGAGACAGTCTTCAGTAGGATATTTAACACAGTATGGAATGAGGGGTGAAGGATGGGACAGACAATGGTGGAGAGAAGCTGACACTCTCATGGAGGGTGTGATGCTGAAATATGTTATGCATAAAACCCTTCATTATTTTAAGCCGCGGTGCCTAAGACAAAATTAAACAAAAAAATCAAAATTAAAAAAGAAATAGAAATAAATGAAATGATAAACCAAAGATCCAGAACATATTATTCAAGTAGAAGAGGCAGGAGAAAGGATGAGAGGAGGAGCACATAGATGGATGTTATCTGTTAAGAGTTTTATTAATCAAGTTGGACTCTGATTAATATTACTACAAGGAAGCAATCAGTTTCCTTTAGAAAGTTTTGTAATAATGAATGCAATAGACTTCCTCTATGTGGGTTTATTTGCTTTCTAAACTGTTATTGTACACTATTAATCTCTTTGACGAGTCACATTTAAGAGGCTAATTAACTACATTTTGTTTTTAGGTATTGGAGATAGCAGCATCAAAAACAAGCAAACAAAAAGATGTTTTGTCCTCCAGATGATTGAGTAAGATAAATAAAAAACAGAGTTAGTTCCTCTCTCAGAGAAAAATGCTGTCAAGAATCCAAAGATACTTAATGGAAACAAATAGCTATAATTGTTCTATTTCAGTAATTTATTTCTATGGTGATTTTGTTTTTAACATTTGAAATTGCACATACACAAAGCCTTGTATTAAAAAAAAAGAAGTTTGAGATATGTATATAACCAATAAAAGAGAAGAAATAATGCAGAAAAATGTTTGAGTTTAAAAGAGCTGTAGTTTTTTTCCCCTTGATAATTCTGTTTGTTCCTTAACAATGGTGACTCAAGGAAAAGATGACAGTGTCAAGAGATGATTAGAATTTTCCATTCAAAATGCTATTCTGAGTGCCCATTTTGTGTCTAGTAGTTTTGGCTTGAAAAGCGAGACTGAAAATAAAAGACTTCATGAAGACAGCCTGCTCTTATGCTGATGTTATCGTTAAATAACATCTTTTGTAATGGGTAACTATAAGGAAGCAATCAGTTTCTTTTAGAAAGTTTTGTAGTAATGAATGCACTAGACAATTTAGTTGTAAAGACATTTATTCAGTTGTTATTAACATGTTGAACACATAACTAGTCATGTGTATGATGATAAATGACTTATGGACACATTCATGCATTCATTCATTCAACAAATATTTACTGAGTAAATAGTTGCTTTATTAATTGGTTGGGATTTAGTAGTAAGCAAGGTAGATACAGTCATGCTGTCATGGACTGTATACTCCATTATGGAGATGAATATTAAACATCTTCTATGTGAGGAGTACTTATAAGTTCCATGAGGCAGAAGAACTGGAACATACAAGAACATATAAAGGGAAGATCGTTGGTACGGACAGCAAACCAGGTGTTTTACCCTTGAGGCAGAAATTTTCAATAATGATTTCAAAAATGTATCTAGGCATTATTATAACTCAAGTACTGGTCTATAATAAATTTTTGTTACACTTTATTCGTCTTGACCATGATCATGAAAGTTTTGAAACTTTGATCATGACCCTGTATACCAGATTGTAGAGTACAGTTCAACTGAATTATTTTGGGATTATAATGAGAACAAAATAACCCCTTCTCTGTATCAGTTACAAACCATTCCGTGTACATCTAACCACTACATTAACTTATGAAAAGCATATATTACTTAAAGAATAAATAAATACACTTTCCAAGGTCATACAAATACATTATTTAAGTCTAAAACTAGTGCTCTTTTTACTGCATCTGCTATTAGATGAAGGAGACAAGGGAATATTTAACCTATGTCCTTCTTTTCAATATAGGCTCTATTAATACAGTGTATTGATTGATAAGATTTACCTCTCTCTCATCCCCCACTTAAGCAAAAAACTACAATCACCTAAATTGATGAGTTGTTTTCCAACAGACACAAATATTTATTAGTCAAGCAAAGATTTATTTCTAAACTTTTAAATAACTTGTTTATATAAGGTATAAGTACATCCATGCCTGGCATAAAATTACATACATATATATAATAATAATAAACAAGAATGCTTTCCAACCATATCATTTCTCCTAAAAATCCTCTTAAAACCAATAATTCCAAGCTAGCTTTGGATGATAATGTCAGAAATTGTTTTTCACTTGATAAGCATTTATTGCATGCTTATTCAACTCATCCACAAACATATGTTGAATACATGTACCAGATGCTCTGGAAGTCACCAAGTTCAATTAGACAATAAAGTCCATACATAATTCCATGGTGACATGGGGAAGGGCAGGCATTCATAGATAACTATACGGCTTGCTAAAAATGTCTTAGGACTTTTCTTGGAAAAATAAACAGGTAAGCTGTAAGATCAGAAAGAACAAAATATGATATAACGAGGGTGCACTGAGGAAGACTGATAATGGTTCATGGGATCTAGAGGAATGAGTGATTATCACCAGATGAAAGGGTGACAGAGGCATTTTAGATGGGTTCTTATACCCAAAGACAGTAGCAATAAGGGTCAGGAAGACTGGTCCTTGGTAGGAAGCTTGCCACCAAGGGGAGTTGGAGTGTAGTTAGGGCAGAGAAGGGACCACTGTAACAATGATAGTTGGTAATGATCACTCTGGACAAAAACTGAGTGCTGAAAAGAGGTATAGTGATATTCATGATACCTTTTCAATAACAGTATTGCAAACCACAGTGTCAAAAGAAAAATTAGAGAAAGATATATATATATATATATATATATATAGAGAGAGAGAGAGAGAGAGAGAGAGAGAAAGAGAGAGAGAGAAGTGTTTGCCAGAAAGGCAGAGACAAAAAGTGTGGGCAGGAGGAAAACTGGGGGCATTTGTGATAGGAAATGTGCACTGAGGATAGGCATTGGAACACTGTATGACTGAAATTGAATCATGAACAACTTTGCAACTGTATATCTCAGGTGATTCAATAATAAAAAAAATACAAGTATTGTTGGCAGTAAAAAAAAAAAACAGCAACAGGTTATTACCCCCTTTAAATTTCCTATTTTAAAACATATTGAGTATTGACATTTTTAATTATTTTTGGTGTTTTAATTATTTTTTTTTTGGCTTTTTGGGTCACACCTGGCAATGCACAGGGGTTACTCCTGGCTCTGCACTCAGGAATTATCCCTGGCGGTGCTCAGAGGACCATATGGGATGAT